GGGTCTAGGGTTTAGGGCTTAGGGTACCCTATTGGGGGTCCTTATTTTCAGGAATCCTGCTATTGGGGGTTTATATAAGGGGTCCCCTATGTACAATGAGGCCTTAAGCGCAACAGCTTGGCAGTTCTTTGAACGGTTTCGGGTTTAGGGTTTTGGGCTTAGGGGGTTTAGGGTTTAGGGTTCCAGGCTCAGGGGCGAAAGGGTTTAGGGCTTGGGGGGTTTTCGGGTTTGAGGTTTGGGGTTAAAGGTTGGGGTGCGGAGTTTGGGCAGCTCATGCTCGCGTGCCTTTGTCCGGCTGGGGCTTCGGGGGTTTCCAGCATCGTTGCTTGTGGCCCATCTGTCGCTCAATCGGCTCAACTTGCCTGCACGACGCCTAGGTCGCAAGCACTCGTGAAGCAGACGAATCACATAAACAAATCAACATCCTAAATCCTAAGCTGGGCAATTAGGCCCAGTTGGTGTATCTCTATGTTCCCTTCTTGGGTTGGAGAGCATCGTCTTCGGGAACATCTTTTCAGAGGGTTGAAAGCGGCAACCTAGTAAGCCCCAAGCCCAACAGTCGAGCTGAAACTGCCAGGCCTGGGCGCTCTTCAACCTGAGACCCTAAACCCCAAACCCTAAACCCTAAACCCTAAACCCTAAACCTAGATGTTAAGCAGAGCACCCTTTATATGTGCTAGGCAGACTTGTCTGGGAATCTCTTGGGATCCATACCTTAAGTGCGACAAAATTTCCAGACACCCTTCAAGAACCAGGGTTTAGGGTTTAGGGTTTAGGGTTTCGGGTTTAGGGGTTTAGGGCCTATTAGGGTCACAGACATAGCGACATCCGAAGCCCTTGCCGCGGATGAAATGCCTTCGCCGCGGATCGACCCCGTGGCGGTGCTCCTCCTGTGGCCCAATGTGGTTTGTTGCTGGGCTGGTTCAGGTTCAGCTCCTAGGACCTATGGGTGCAGGGTTTAGGGTTTAGGGTTTAGGGTTTCAGTTTAGGGTTTAGGGTGTAGGGTGTAGGGTGTAGGGTGTAGGGTTTAGGGATCAGTGTTCAAGGTTTAGTGTTCCTTTTTTTTGCAGGGAGCTGAAGTTCCCTCATAAGCCGTTAAACCAAGAAGGGTACCCTTTTCTATTCCTAGGTTACTCTTGGGTCTAGGGCTTTGGAGTTTAGGTTTTCGGGCTTACATCCTAAACTCCAAAGGGTCCTGGCAACTTCCACCCGAAATCACCCTAAACTACAGTTTTCGTTTTTTTGGTTTAGGTTTTTAGGTGTTTTCTGTTGTTGAGCAAAAAGTTCCCTTCAAACAACAACAGGCTGCCCGCTTACTGTATTCTTAGGCTCCTCTGGGACCCAGATGTGTAAAGTATCTTTGTATTCACTAGTGGTGATTATAGGGTTCTTAAGGGAGGGGGCTTCAAGGGGGGTAGGTACCTAGGGAGCATTAGGGAGTATTGGGTTACATCTCCCCCTTGAACCTCACTCCCTTAAGAACCCCGAGCCCCTAAACCCCAAACCCCAAACCCCAAACCGTAGACCCTAGACCCTAGACCCTAAACCCTAAACCCTGAACCCTGAACCCTAAACCCTAAACCCTAAACCCTACATAAAGCACTTAACCGTTAGCCAGCTTCTTCGAGCATGATCGAGTTCGAGAACTATGCTTGGAAGGTGATTCGAAGTTATGGTCCCTCTCCGGGATCCTACTAGCATATGGAGCCTTATATCTCTACACTTGTATATATATATATATATATATATTGTTTATTTATTTGCTTTATGTACTTATTTATTATGTATTCATTTTTTATTATTTGTTTGTTATTCATGTATGTATATCTATCTATCTATCTGTCTATCCACATATGTACATAAGAGGTGCTCCCAAGAAGGGCCCACGATTGAAATCAAATTCCCCTCGTGCCCTCAAGTGATCTCCAAGTCCACAGACACAAAGCTCAGCACCCTAAGCCCTAAGCCCTAAACCCTAAACCCTAAACCCTAAACCCTAAACCTTATACACCCTGGACCCTAAACCCCAAACCCCGAAACCTCATAAGCCCAAAGCCCAAAACCCGGAACCCCAAACCCTGAACCTCATAAAGCCCTAAACCCTAAAGCCTAAACCTTAAACCCTAAGCCTTAAACCCTAAACCCTTTAAACCCTTTAAACCCTTTAAACCCTAAACCCTAAACCCTAAACCCTAAACCCTAAACCCTAAACCCTACACCTCAAAAAGCTGCAGGCTACGTCCGAGCAGCCCTGGGCACTGTGGCCTTAGGCCTCGGGTTTGGGGGCAGGGTTTAGGGTTTAGGGTTTAGGGTTTAGGGTTTAGGGTTTAGGGTTTAGGGTTTAGGGTTTAGGGTTTAGGGTTTAGGGTTTAGGGTTTAGGGTTTAGGGTTTAGGGTTTAGGGTTTAGGGTTTAGGGTTTAGGGTTTAGGGTTTAGGGTTTAGGGTTTAGGGTTTAGGGTTTAGGGTTTAGGGTTTAGGGTTTAGGGTTTAGGGTTTAGGGTTTAGGGTTTAGGGTTTAGGGTTGAGGGTTGAGGGTTGAGGGTTGAGGGTTGAGGGTTCAGGGTTCAGGGTTCAGGGTTCAGGGTTCAGGGTTCAGGGTTTAGGGTTTAGGGTTTAGGGTGAAGAGTCGTCCTGTGACATGTGCGCCTTGGGGGGTGGGGGGTGTGAGGAGCACCATCAAGCCTTTTAAACACCAGCTTGAACGCGATGATTCTTGGAGGTTCATGGGTACTTATACGTAGGGTCCTAAGTAGGGTAACTGGAGATATGACCTTATTCAGGGTACTTAATTATGACCCTTCTTATACGTACCCTAGACCCTAAACCCTAAACCCTAAACCCCAAACCTTCAAGTAGGAGCTTGTCCCAGGCCTTGCTTGGTGGCCCGACAGTCCGCCAAGTTCCCTGGTGACGGGGATCTATGCGGGGCCCTCGGCTCCTTCTAAACCCTAAACCGCAAACCCTAAACCCTGTGAGCCTTCTCAGCCCTCAACCCGAAACACTATGACCCCCCTATGACCCCCATTAACCTTACAAACCTGATAAGCCCTCAGCCCGAAACCCGATTACCCCTGGAACCCTCAAACCCGAACTGCCAAACGAAAGCGAGGCGTTTCTGTTCGGCCTCACCGGCCGAAGTGCGAAATAGCCCCTGAGCGCAGCCAAACGATTCCCATCGTCATGGTGAGCCCTAATGGGCGCATCCACGCGCGTCACAGCAACAGCAGTTAAGCCTTTCGTTTTCTTACTTAGCCAATGTAGCCAATAGTTGAAATTTAGACTTTTCGGGCTTCCTTATTTAGTAGGAATTATGAAGTTTAGCCTTTTTTCCCGTTGTTATTGGAGAAGGGTTTTCTAGGAGGTAGATCAAGACCCATTCGGAAGCATGTGGACATGAGAGTGTGCAACCCATCTCATGCGGGTCCACCCGATGCGGGGAGTGGCGGGGCTCTCGTTGGCCAGTTCGTACGCGAAAACGCAACTATGATCCAAAAGAAGTCCCGAACTTATCGACGCTGGTCTTCGCCCGTTCCCGACCCTAAACGCTAAACCCTAAGCCCTAAACCCTCAACCCTAAACCCTAAACCCCAAACCCCGTGTCCCCATCGACTGAAGGTGTTTGCCCTGGCGCTGGATTGGTTAGATGGGTATTTGGCTGCCGCCTCGGAGCGACTGTGCGTAGGTTGTAGACCCCAATGTTCCCAGCCTTGGTCCTTTCTAACCCTAAACCCTAAACCCGAAGCCCTACGCCCTAAGCCCTGGCGGGTCCACAACAGACCCGCGCAAAACTGTGGCCACACCAGCAAACCTGAGATGCAGGACTTAGGTCACCGCCTTTAGTGTTGAGAAATGAGGCCTTTCTGCTCCCCAGTGCGCCTAAAAGCAAGAACCTCCAGCCATTTCTGCCCAGAAGAAGGTTTAACCTTCTCGGAATGGATCAGACGATGTAAACCATGGACGTCATCATGCTTGGGCCATGGATGCTCTCTTCTCATCAGAGCAGAATAGACCATGGGTTATCATGCTTGGACCCTGGATGCTCTCTTCCCAGAACGGAGGAGACCACGGACGTCATCATGGTTGGGCCATGGCAGTGCAGAAAGCATGTAGACCATGGACGTCATCATGCTTGGGCCATGGATGCTCTCTTCTCATCAGAACAGAGTAGACCATGGACGTCATCATGCTTGGGCCATGGATACTCTCTTCCCAGAACGGATTAGACTATGGACGTCATCATGGTTGGGCCATGGATGCTCTCTTCTAACTATGGTGAAGCAAACGTGTTATTTAGACCCAGGGCTGGGCAGAAGCGGATGCAAGCAAGACAGGGCTTAGTTTAGGACACGTCGAAAGTGCGAAGTAGTGCAAAAAACCCACAAATACCAGTGCAGTCTACGGATGCCCAAAAAAATGCAGGATAGTTTTGGATAAAAATTGCGGGGATGAGGTGAGGTGCGAAACCCAGGAAACATCGGTATTAGGTATTTACAGGGGATTCTGAGGGCAACAGAGCTAAACTGCCGAAAACGCGTGGGTCTGTTGTGGCCCCGCCTAGCCCTAAGCCCTAAGCCCTAAACCCTAAACCCAAAACCCAAAGCCTACGTAGTTAGAACTAGCCCCCACCCCCCCTGTGGAAGTTCTCCACACAGACGGGTGCGATGCACGGGTATTGGCTTGCAGCTGGTCTAAATGAGAAGATGACGGGTTGAGGGTTTCGGGTTTGGTCTCGACGGCAATTCTCCTAAACCCTAAACCCTAAACCCTAAACCCTGAACCCTAAATCTCACTCCCCATGCTCCCACTGTTTTGCGTGCCAGGCGCGACGACTGCGCCAAGAGAGCGCCTTCGGGGCCGCTCTAGATGTTGCTGGGCCTCCACCAGTACAGTCCTTTAGTGGACCCTAGGGTTTAGGGTTTAGGGTTTAGGGTTTAGGGTTTAGGATGCTTACGATTTACTTGGTTTAAGTAGGCTCCCATGAGCAGTCGCCGCGAAACGCATGCAATCAAGTGCAGACGATGTGCCCATGTGCATTTTGACTCGTCGGCAGGTTTTAGTCGACTGCTTCCAGCGAGGAGAGGGTTTGGGGGTTTAGGGTTTAGGGTTTGGGGTTTGGGGTTTAGGGTTTAGGGCAGAAATGGCCAACTTTGCCAAATGTTTATGGTCATGGCCGCAACGAATCAAGTTGATGCCTGCGATAGGCGACCTTCGCCTTAGCATGCTCAGTACCAGGAGGACACTTTGAACTTACGGACTTATAACCCACTTATAAGTGACTTAGGTTGGAGTATTTATAAGTGAGTTATAAGTAACTTATAAGTAACTTATAAGTAGACCTAAGTCCTACAGGTTTTCACAAAACTGTATTTTGTACGATCGCCGTCCGTTTGCCAGGAATGGTGATTTTCGCATCCCATTTTCGCAACCGCCAACTGGACACTCTCGCACGTCCGACGCAGGCAGCGTAGCCCGTGCTGGCGGCGTTGGGAGACTGCCTTGCTCAAGCGGCAATTGTGGCACTGCAAGGTTTCCACCGTCTGCTCGGCTTGGGTTCTGGTAGCTGGGTTTGGGGTTGAGGGTATAGGGATCCAAAGCAGGGAGCCGGGCGTGAAAAACCTGGCCCTACATGTGTAGCCCCAGCAGAACACATTGTTTTGGCCGCGCGGACATGCTCTGTTAGGCAAAGGCCTATACTGGGGCCGAGGAGGCCGCGGACATCCGCGGACATCCGCGGACACCCGCGGACATCCCGCGGACATAGCCCGGGAGCTCTCCGCAACTCACTGCTCCGCAAGCACGTCGGCGAGAAAAGCGAGGATCTCGCAATTGGCAGCGCTGTCCAGTATTTTATCAGGGTGGCAAAAGGATGCTGCGGAACGTAGAGCAGGATGTTAGTGAGTTTTTTTGCGTGGCCCGGCGCGTGGAAACATGACGCACTGGTGCGGCTGCCATAGCGCGGCTACAAGTGGGAAAACGGACAAAACCTTGAGGCTGCAATGGCAAGTCGAGCTACAAGGAAAGCCGATTTATCACAACAACATGACACGAAAAGCAACAACAAAGACAACAAAAAAAAGGTGGTTCGTAAGTAGTTATAAGTCCACATAAGTCCGCATAAGTCCGACAGGCCAAGTAATTATAAGTGACTTATAAACATTTATAAGTTCAACAAAAATCGACATACTTATAACTCACTTATAACTCAGTTACAGGATTTATAACTAAGTTATAACCAAGTTATAAACAACTTATATCCAAAGCGCCCTCCTGGTAAGGTTTAGGCTCAGGGCGGTTTAGGGTTTAGGGTTTAGGGTTTAGGGTTTAGGGTTTAGGGTTTAGGGTTTAGGGTTGAGGGTTTTTCAAGCTTTGCGTAGCTGGTGTGATCTGTCGTGGCGGAGGTGGTGTCTGTGCCAAAACAAACCCCAGGCCCCCTCCCTAAACCCCATAAACCGAGCAGGAGGTATGTGGATTTTAGCGGTGGGGCTTCCCGGCCTTGTCGTCGTGCCACTCGGAGGCAGACTATCAGGTACTATTGTAGGGAGAACCCTAAACTCTACACCTTAAACCCTAAACCCTAAACCCCTTTTGTAAAGGGTTCAAGTTCAAGTATCTACTCTGTCGTTACATATTGCTTTTTAGGATGGGCTTGTTGTGCAAAAAGAGCCCACTTACACAGGGATGGACCAGAGGGATAAGAGGATGAGGATTTCCGGTTTGAGGTTTAGGATGAAGCCTTAGCTAAGAAGGGAACCTACCTTGTGGTTCTGTTTGGGGGGGCAGGGGCAGATGTTCTGAACAACCCCGCCCGCCCCCCCCCCCCCCCCCCCTACCCTATAAGCTTCGCACCTTAACCCTAAACCCTAAACCCTAAACCCTAAACCCTAAACCCTAAACCCTAAAACAACCTAAAGATCGTCGGCTTAAGGCTGTATGGTTTCCGCCACTGGTCCGGCTCGGAGACTAGCTCTCCCGGCTTTCGGAGCTGTGGCGTTGCACCATGTAGCTATCCTGACACCCTGAACCCTAAACCTTAAAACCCTGAACCCTGAACCTTAACCTTAAACCCTGAACCCTAAACCTTAAACCCTGAACCCTGAACCTTAAACCCTTAAACCCTGAACCCTGAACCTTAAACCTTAAACCCTGAACCCTGCACCCTAAACCCGAAACCCTGAAACCGAACCCTGACTATCGAAGTCTACATCGCCGCCCAATATAGGGTTGGGGTTTTTTGCGGGTGCAGGTAAATACTTGGAGGTTCATGGTACTTCTGACTTCTTAATCAATTATAACTGTACTTCTAAGCGTACTTGTAACCATACTCGGGCACTTAGGGGGCTTACAAGTGGGTTCTAGGTACCGCTGTAATTGGTTAAGAAGTACCCCTAAACCCTAAATCCTAAACCCTAAACCCTAAACCCATGAACCTCCAAGTAGGGTTTAAGGCTTGCAGCGTTTTAGTCGTTTTCTAGGGTTTACGGAGCATGGTTCGGCCTTTGCGGCTGCTGCAAGGGCTTTTGGGGGGGGGGGGGGAGGGGGTAGGGTTTAGGGTTTAGGGTTTGGGGTTTAGGCTTTAGGGTTTAGGGTTTAGGGTTTAGGGTTTAGGCACGGCAAGGGCTTAGGGGCGTCTTGCATGTGGTTCCTTGAGCCAAGGTTTCTCGAGCTGGTGGTGTTTGCCAGGGCCTCGGTGATCCTAACAGCCCTACCAGAAGGCTCCAATGTAGCTTCTGTTTTAGGGTTTAGGGTTCAGGGTTTAGGGTTTAGGGTATTCTAGTATGCTACCCCTAAAAGGTATTACTACACAGGAGCCTTCAGGTGCACCCTAAATGGAGCTTTGTGGCACTAGGGTGCCGCTTTTGGCGACGTCCTCGTGCGCTGGAGGGCGGTTCCTAGGGCCTTTTCCGCGAGGCAGCTCTGTGACTTAGGGTTGAGAGGAGTTGGTTTAGGGTTTGGGGTTTGGGGTTTAGGGTTTAGGGTTTAGGGTTTAGGGTCTCAAAGGGGGATAAAGGGGGGCGGCCGGTACTCTTGCCAGGAATACTCGAGAGGCATGCCCATTTAGGGGCTTCACTCCCCCCCCCCCCCCCCCCCAACACGCAAATAAGGTCGAAGCCAGCTCAGCTACCATTTTGGCCCCCCCCCAACCCCTCAACCCCTAAGACCCGAGACCCTAAACCCCAAACCTTAGCCCCTAATCCCAAACCCTAAACCCTAAACCCTAAACCCTAAACCCTAAACCCTAAACCCCAAACCCTAAACCCTAAACCCTAAACCCTAAACCCTAAACCCTAAACCCTAAACCCCCGCCCCAATGAGGCGGGCACCCATGCCAGCGGGGGAAAGGCGTGGAAGGCCGGGGGGCAGTTTAGGTTCTCGGACGTCGAGGGTCTCTTTCAAGTTTAAGGGTTTAGGGGATGCAGTGTTTAGGGTTTCATTAGGGTTTAATTCGTGTTCAGGGAGTTTTTTTGGGGGGAGGGGGGGCGGGGAGGGGGAAGGGGAATCTAGCACACCCAATATGCACTGAACAACCTCTGGCTTGGGGGGGGGGGGGGGCATCTTGGGTGAGGGATTCGGGCTTCTTAGCCCAGGTTCTGGCGCAAGAGCGTCTGCTGGCGACCGCATGACCTGACAATGTGACATGCCAAGGGTTCGGGCAAGTAAATTAATTCGCCAATATATATATATATATATATTATTTTTTATTTATATATATGTATATGCATTTACTATGTATTTACTTATTTAACAAATGGACACTTAACAAGTGTTTCTACACATATATATATATATATATATGTAGGTATATTGATTCGTTTATAGAGTTCAGCGTTCAGTGAACAGGCTGTTAGTTCAGGAGATGAGTTTGTTGGAATGTTGGCTGCCGACTCACCATGTCAAGCACACGAACTCGAGCCGCCGCCTACTAGCGCCTCGTTCATAACCTAAATCGTGCAGTTCCGATACTGGCTGAGATCAAAGGCGGAAAATCTGAGAGCGTATAGATCTCCCGAACGAGCTTGTATAGAATTTTAGAAGCTCCTATAAGATCTGATATACCTGAGGGCTCCAATATAGTTCCTTTTTTTGTTAGCTATAGAGGATTCTAGTGTACTACCACCCTAAACCATAAACCCGAAACCTTATAAACCCTAAACCCAAAACGGTACTGCATAGGCGCCTTTGGGTAGATCTTCCTAGGGCCAGTCCCGTTGCCTTCCATGTGTCTGAAAGGTCGGCTGCTTTGCGGATGCCCCCTGGCTCATCGCCGCAACTGGGCCTCCCAACAGGGTTTAGGGTTTCGGGTTTAAGGGTTTAAGGTTCAGGGTTCAGGGTTCAGGGTTTAGGGTTTAGGGTTTAGGGTTTAGGGTTTAGGGCTTAGGGTTTAGGGTTTAGGGTTTAGGGTTTAGGGCTTGGAAGACCTACGGTTTCAAGAATGGGGTGTAGGGCTTCTACGTTGGCGTCCTGCAGCGCCCTATCGATTTACAAGAAAGAACCACGTGACACCGCGCCTAGACTGTACAAACCCTAAACCCTAAACCCTAAACCCCTTTTTTCCTTTTTTTCTCCATCGCGGAAAGGGGGAGAGGGTAACTAGCGGCCCTGGGAGGTCACGAAGATCTCCTTGGGTGAAACGAGGGTTTAGGGTTTAGGGTTTAGGCTGAGATGGAGAAGAAGCGGTTAGAGGGGCACTTTGGCCAGAGATGGGTTTACGATTGAAACCCTCAGGGTTCAGGGTTCAGGGTTCAGGGTTTAGGGTTTAGGGTTTAGGGTTTAGGGTTTAGGGTTTAGGGAAACCCCTCTTGAAAAGCCGAAGAGGGGGATACCAAGGCGAGACGATAGCCAGGAAAAGGGAGAAGGAGTTGAGGTGAGTGATACTACTATGGCCTTTCTCGGCTCCCTAAACCTAAACCCAAAACTCTTCTTCATGCATTTTGCAACCCAGGCAATCATGGCCAACGGGTTCAGATCCCCCCTGGGTGCGCTTGCAGTGGCCCTACCCTCAACTTATGTGTTGTGGAAAGTTGGGTTCGGGGTCTAGGGTTTGGGGTTTGGGGATAGGGTTTTGGGGAAATTGAGGTATAAATATATATATATATTTATATATATGTAATAGAGAGAGAGGGGGAGAGGAGGTCCCTAGTCTGCAGTAGGTGCAGAGCTTCAGCGTTTGGAGGTTGATCGGTTTACGGTTTAGGGTTTAGAGTTTAGGGTTTAGGTAGTTCTCTTTCTGGGGGACTGTTCGGTGATCCCTATCTGATGGCATTCTCACAATGAGGATCCGGTCGATGATCAGTAGCCCCCTGCGTCCCCAACAAAAGGACCCCAATTGGAGAACTACCCGATTTCCTGAGATAAGGGCCCCCGAATATGCACCCAAGATGGTACAGACCTTATTTTTGGGACACCCTCCCCCCCAACAAGCAAAGTTCAAAAACTCAATCGTTGCACTATATCGGGAGCTACCCCGCATGGGAGCTAGGGACACCCTCAAAACCCCAAATCCTAAAACCCGAAAGTCCCAATCCCCAAACCCTAAACCCTAAACCCTAAACCCTAAACCCTAAACCCTAAACCTAAAGCCTAAACACAATGAGGCCGGTCTTCACTTTCTGCCTTTGTGGCTCTGGCTGTTCCTGCGTGTTCCAGGAAGGCAAGGCTTGACACGATGGAGGGACGGGGGGGGGAGGGGGGGGGGTTTAGGGTTTAGGGTTTAGGGTTTAGGGTTTAGGGTTTAGGGTTTAGGGTTTAGGGTTTAGGGTTTAGGGTTGGGGGAAGGGGGGGAGACCCTCAACCCTGATCGTGAGAGGGATTTCGAACAAGTGCCACCCTAGCCCACCTAAACACGACAAGCCTCATGTCCGGAGTTGAGTTTGTTCGGGTTTGGGCTTGTCCTGCATTTGCGGTTTTTATGGGGGGGGGCTTCATGTTCAGGATCATGCTCTAGGACACAGAATAGGCCGTCAGTCTGGGCTTCGGTTCCCGTACAAGCCCGGGCACCGATTCCGAGGTTACTCTTGGGTCTACCTTAAACCCCCCAAACCCTCTAACCCTCTAACCCTCTATCCCTCTAACCCTCTAACCCTCTAACCCTCTAAACCATCCTCTAACCCCCCTAAACCCTCTAAACTCTTTCTAACCCTCTAAACCGCAAACCCTACACCCTAAACCCTCAACCCTAAACCCTCAACCCTAAACCCTAAACCCTCAACCCTCAACCCTAAACCCTAAACCCTAAACCTTAAAACCCCTGGTAGTTGCGGGGTTTGGGGTTCGGGTTCAGGTCCTCCGCGCGCTTTCTGTGTCTCGGACCGGTGCTGCTCCTCGGGCGATGCCTGGCTGCGGTACCCCCGGCTGGTTTAGGGTTTAGGGTTTAGGGTTTAGGGTTTAGGGTTTAGGGTTTAGGGTGTGAAGCGCGGGAGGGGAGTGTTGCTGTCTAGATTCGCCAAGAGCTTCCTATACACCCTCAACAAGGGCGATCGGCCGCGGTACCTGAAATCAGGAGTCTCCTACCTTCACTCTAGGAGGACAAATTCAGGTGGCGGGCTTCCCTTGTAAGAGTCTCATCAGAGGATCACAGAAACCCAAGACCTTTCCTAAGAGGCTTATTGTACATGCAAGAGCGACCCGCCCCCTGCAAGTGTCCCTTGCTGCTTAAAAAAACTATCCGGTACTTGAAGGTTCATGGGTACTTTGTGTCAAAGTAGGGGTCTAAGTACCTCAGAAAAGGATGTAGCCATAGTCACCCTGGTTAGAACCCTACTTATGAAGTATCCGCGAACCTCCAAGCAGACAGGTCGCTCTCAGGTAGGTAGGAGCTTTGGACATGTTCGGCTTCCCCTTACTGGGCCCAGAAGTTCTCTCAACTTAAACCCACGACTCCTTGGGTCCTTCTAACTAAGCGTATCTTAGCTTAGCGTGTCTAGGGTTAGGGTTTAAGGTGTGCTATTTTTGGGTGGTACTTGTGCTGCCCATCCTTAGTACCTGGAGTCGGCCTGTATTTCTTACGAGGCCACGTACAGCTGCAGGGTTATGAGCTTCACGGGCTTGCAGAGCTCTCAAGATAGCCCCAAAAACCTTACATAAGAAGGCCTTTGGGCCCAAAATCCCTAGAATAGGGGTCCTTAGAGCCTTAGGGTTAAGGCTGCTACTGCCTTGCAGTGGCCAGCAAGTTGTCCTTTCAGCATGAGCTGGGCTCTTTGTGTGGCGCGACTGGCGCAGCCATGAGTTTAGGGTCTGAGTTTCTATCCCTAAACCCTAAACCCTATAAACCCTACAACCCGAAGCACGAAACAAGCGCTGAGCCCTGCCGGCTGCACTCCGCGGTCTTCGAAAGCGCTCGCGGCTGGTTCCTTTCAAGAAGACCACAGTCGCCCCGGACACTACCCCAAAAGGGTACTACATAGGAGCCTTTGGGTAAGCCCTATCCTTCAAAATCCTCAAAAGCTATGGGAAGCCTAAACCCTAAACCCTAAACCCTAAACCCTAAACCCTAAACCCTAAACCCTAAACCCTAAACTTAGTGAGGGGTCGCTTCCGTCGAGCGACAGACCCCGAGCGGCTTGGCCGAGGGCTCACAGCCCGAGCGCCCATACGAAAAGAGCGGGCCGCGGAGAGGTGAGGGTAAAGCCTCACCGGCTTGTCCTGTACAGGCCAACGACCCTGGCCTTGCTGGCCTAAGGGATGGCCGTATCCAGACCACCTTTAGTGTTAACTAAAGTAGAACCCCAAACCTCGGGCCGTTGGGGTGGCTAGGGTTTCGGAGGGCTTGCCGCGCCCCCGGGGGCCCCCTGCCCCTGGTGGCTGGATTCCTGGACCAGGGGGCCGTCGAGGGGGTCCAGGCAGGCTGGTTGCTCAATTTCGTGATTTTTGGGGCCGTTGTGAGGGCCCAATCACTCCTGCGCGCCTCCTCAGGGCCTGAGGTGCTTGCAGACGTTCAGGATTTAATGTTCAGGGCGGCCGAACAGGGCAAGAAGCCTCGGCCCGAACAGGGTCGAGACGCTTTCCGAACCTCAATAATGCTTTCGAGCCTCAAGAGGGCTGGGCGATGGCAGATTGAAACGCGTGGGCCTCTGAGGCAGAGGGGCCGAAGCGTTCAGGATTTAGTGTTCAGGGCGGTCCGAACAGGGCAAGAATCCTCGGCCCGAGCAGGGTCGAGGTTACCACCAAGCGTTTTTCGAACCTCAATACATGCTTTCGAGCCTCAAGTGGGCTGGGCGATGACGGCTTGAAATGCGTCTTGGGTTGAGGTGAAAGCCCCCCTTGAGGGGGGTTGGGGGGGTGAACCCTAAACCCTAATTGAGAATAGTTTGGGTGGCCGGGGCGGGTGTACGGGCAACGCGAGCGCGCGGTCCGGGGTGCTTCACACCCGAGCGCGCGACCTCGCATGCACACCCTAAACCCTAAACCCTAAACCCTAACCCTAAACCCTAAACCTGGGCCTAAAGGCCGTTTTGGCAACCCCGAAGCGCGCGCCAGGCTGCAGAGCTTTGGGTCCTCAGGCGCTACCTTGGAAGCATCCTGAGTTCCGTCCCCAAGCTCTGAGGTTGCTTAGGGTTCAGGGTTTAGGGTTTAGGGTTCAGGGCCGCGTTTAAACTGGGAAAGGCCGGGAGCAATACTGACAGCGCCGAAACCCTCAACCCTAAACCCTGGTGGTTTAGGGTTTAGGGTTTAGGGTTTAGGGTTTAGGGTTTAGGGTTTAGGGTTTATAAGGTTCAAAGTTCAGGGTTTAGTGTCTAGGGTTCAGGGTTCAGATCTCAGGGTTCAGGGTTTTTCTTGTTTTGGGTTCAGGATTCGTTTTGGGTTTAGGGTCGGGTTTTTTTGTTTAGGGGGCTCAGGGTTCAGGGTTTAGGGTTTAGTGTTTAGCACATGCTTCGCTTGGAGTTCGCGGCTCAGGGTTAAGAGGCTTGAGCTGCCACAGAGAAGGGAACCTTCTGGGGAAGGGCGGCAGAAGCTGAAGGATTTCGGGTTCTTGCCGTGCCGCATGAAACCCCTAAGCCCTAAACCAAAACCCTAAACCCTAAACCAGTCGGCCAGCAACCTGATGTTCATTTTGAACCGCGCTGTAAACCCTAAGCTCTCCGCACCAGGCGGCAGCCCTAAAACCTAAGCCATAAACCCTAAACCTTCACTAGGGTTTAGGGCTCAGGGTATAGGGTTGAGGGTTTAGGGTTTAGGGTTCAGGCCTAAACCCTAAACCCCAACGCCCAAAACCAAACAAGGTCCCCTGGTCCTTGAAGTCTCCTTCAGAAAAAGCTCGCACGATCCCGGGCTTCGCCTCAACTGGGCCCCAAACATCGAAACCCCGCCTGAAAGTTCATGTGTACCTCTAAGTGGGCGGGCCTAAAACCTAAGCCCTTGTAAACCCTTCACCCCAGAGCCATAGCTACCCTGCTTATAACCCTGCTTATACGTATATACCCCCCCAATGAACCTCACCCTAAACCCCTAAACCCTAAACTCCTAAACCCTGAACCCCTAAAGCCCCTAATCCCTAAACCCCAGACCCTAAACTCTAAACCCTAAACCCTAAACCCTAAACCCTAAACCCTAAACCCTAAACCCTAAACCCTAAACCCTAAACCCTAAACCCTAAACAAGTAAATGGGTTTAGGATTTCGGGTTGAGTTCCCAAGTGGCTGCCCTGAGGCCGGGATGCCACGGCCCTGAGTGAGAGGCAAGACGCGAGCCGATAGAAGCCACGCCCACCTCCTAGGGTTTAGGGTTTAGGGTTTAGGGTTTAGGGTTTAGGGTTTAGGGTTTAGGGTTTAGGGTTTAGGGTTTAGGGTTTAGGGTTTAGGGTTTAGGGTTTAGGGGGGTTTAGGGTATAGGGCTTACTTTCTGTTTGCTAGCAGGGAATGAGGGAATTAGGGCCCAAAATATTCCCTTTTAAAGGATTATATAGGGTACCTCATTCCCCCAATTTTCTACTAACCAGCAGTAAGTTCCCCCCCCCCCCCCCCCGGCTGGCATTTCGTATTTTGTAGATTCCGGGTTGGGCCGTGGAACATTCTGTGTTTTCTCTGGTTGGGTTTAGGAGTGGATGAGAACGGCTTCTGGGCGGGTTCATACACTGTTTTGGGGTTTTGTAGGGTTGATAGGCGGGTTTATAGGTGTTCTAAACCCTAAACCCTAAACCGGCCGAGGGCAAGTAATTGCAAACGCTTGTGCTGCCGCCTCGGCACCCGGGGTAGACGCTTCTGGGCTGGAGGGGCTAAATCTCTCACCATGTTCCCGTATCCTTTGCTAATCCCGAGCCCTAGACCCTAAACCCTCAATCCTCAACCCTCAGCCCTAAACCCTAAACCCACCCTAAACCCTAAGCCCTAAACCCTAAACCAGAGTTTGAGTAAGGCTTTGGGTGGAGCAGTGGACGGGCGCCGTCTAATTACGCAGATTCCTGTTTCAGCTTCGGCTCACCCGAAGGGACACCCAAAGCGGTGTACACTTAGGGTTTAGGGTTTAGGGTTTAGGGTTTAGGGTTTGGGGTTTAGGGTTTAGGGTTTAGGGTTTAGAAGCGGACATGAGCCGCAGACACGCGCGATGCAAACACCCGAGAATGATAAAAGTTGCTTCGCGAGTGCTGAGGCTTAGGCTTGGCGATTCCGGGTTAGGGTTTAGGGTTTAGGGTTTAGGGTTTGGGGTTTAGGGTTTAGAGTTTAGGGTTTAGGGTTTGGGGTTTAGGGTTTAGGGTTTAAGGTGAACATGAGGAAGTTGCAGCCTGAACTGCAGGTACCTCGTATACGGGTGCTTGTATCCTGGTTGGAGATAAGGTGGATAGCCGCAGAGAGACTTGCAATCTTGCTGATTGTCGGCTTGCTGCCCGCTCACCAGTTGGATGTACTTGATGGTGTCCCTAAACACTAAACCCTAAACCCTAAACCCTAAACCCTAAACCCTAAACCCTAAACCCTAAACCCTAAACCCTAAACCCTAAACCCTAAACCTTAGACATCTGTAGCGTAGTGCTGCAGCCATGGCATCCGTGCCTGAAGCCATGTCGGTACCGCCGCTCGCTAGCAGCTCATTCATAGGAATCAACGTGTCACTGCGTCTGCAGTCGCCCCTGATGGTCCTGAAAAGGCTAAGCCACTAAGCCACTCCAGCACCTGAGTACCTGAGTCGAGACAACCCTAAACCCTGAACCCTCAACCCTAAACAATAAACCCTAAACCCTTAGGTTTAGAGCTTGAGGTTTGGGATGTAAGGTCATGGTGCTTCGCCTAGCTCGAGGTTCCTGCCTTCGGTTTTCTGAATCTCTTAAGGCTCTCAAACCCTGAGCCTAAACCCGGACCCCAAAACCCTAGCCCTAAACCTTAAACCCTAAGCCCCAAAACCCTAAACCCTAGCCCTAAACCCTAAAACCTAAGCCGTAAACCCTAAACCCTAAATTGAGGCAGCCCTCCCTAAACTCAAAGCCCCCGGGGGAAAACCTCAACCTCCTTCCAGCTCATACGAAGACATCTGTGGCTCAAAGGGTTAAGCATCTCAAGAGTTTAGGGTTTAGGGTTTAGGGTTTAGGGTTTAGGGTTTAGGGTTTAGGGTCTAGGATAGTAGGCGCCCTAAGCCTCAAAACCCAGCTGCCCTAAACCTTAAAGAGCAAGAATGGGTTGTAGAGTGCCCGTCGTATGGAGAAGCCCAAACCCTAAACCCTAAACCCTAAACCCTAAACCCTAAACCCTAAACCCTAAACCCCAAACCCCAAACCCCAAACCCCAAACCCTAAGCGGAATCGGGCCTGGCCGCCTTGAAGCCGAGCCCAGGGGCTTTTTTCGGGATTGGGGCTCCGGGTTTTTTTCTCAGCTTCGGGCTGCACAGTCGGTTTTGGGGGTTTAGGGTTTAGGGTTTAGGGTTTAGGGTTTGGGGTTTAGGGTTTAGGGTTTAGGGTTTAGGGTTGCACTCCAATGTTCGATACAACCTATTCTGCTACCCATACTTGTGTGGACCCCCCGGTTCAGAATTTCTGCTGGCTTTCTGTCGGGCTTCGAAGGAGCTTTGGCCAGTCAGCTAGCCACTGAATCCCATAAAGTACACCACCCTAAGCCCTAAACCCTAGCCCAAAACTCTAGCCCTAAACCCTAGCCCTAAACCCTAACCCTAAACCCTAAACCCTAGCCCTAAACCCTAAACCCTAAACCCTAAACCCTAAACCCTAAACCCTAAACCCTAAACCCTAAACCCTAAACCCTAAACCCCAAACCCTGCAGTGCACGGCCAGGGGGTCGAGCCGGGATCCCTCCATCGAGGAGGTTGCAGCGCGGTCTTTTGCCAAACCCTCAAACCCTACATCATGGGTGTCCCTACTGCCACCCTTAGGCTTTAGGGTTTAGGGTTTAGGGTTTAGGGTTTAGGGTTTACGTTTTCCCTTTTTAAAGACGGTCATGTTCAGTTGACCTGTCGGTCGATTGTAGTGGCTTATCGACTTCTGCAGGTTCACTCAATTTCCATACCCCAAACCCTGCCTAAATCCTAAACCCTAAACCCTAAACCTTAAACCCCTTAAGAAGTTTGTTTTTGTTGTGGTATGTTTTCTGTTCCTGGGTGGCTGTCAAAATTATGCCCCATTTTGGAGTACCCTAAATATCAGGTGCCGTATTTATATCCAAAAAAGGACCAGAATTTTGACAACCACCCAGATGAAAGCCTCGGGAGTATTTGAAGATATACTATAGGACCCAGAAAAGGCCCCTCCTTCCCTTTTTAGGGGGGTTTGGGTTTCCCTATAGGCCCCTGTAAACCCAGAAGGGCACCCTTTTTTTCCTAGGTTCCTCTTGGGTCCAGTATTCTTTGCAATAAGATTTCGACCCTAAACGCTAAACCCCAAACTCACAGACAAAGTCTGTAGGGCTTTTCTGCTCACCAAGCTTTGAGGAGAGCCTTGACGGCTTCCTACATGTCGTCTTGACAACCTGAACCTTTTCAAAGGGTCTAGGGTTTAGGGCTTAGGGCTTAGGGCTTGAGGCTTGGGGCTTAGGGTTCGGGATCTCCAAACCTTCCAAGAAGATGCTTCGGACAACTGACCATCTAGACCCTCCGCGTTAAGGCTAAGGCTCTTAAAGTGCGCACGACTCAGGCCCTGCGTGGTCGGTCCAAAGGTCGGGTTTAGGGTTTAAGGTTTAGGGTTTAGGGTTTAGGGTTTAGGGTTTAGGGTTTAGGGTTTCCATAAACCCTGTGAAGTCAAGTAACCCTAGGGTTTAGGGTTTAGGGTCTAGGGTTTGGGGGTAGCCATTGAAAGCATGTAAACCCATGCAACCGGCATCCGGGTATTTGTACGGAAGGCGGCACGCGACAACGGCTCGACCTTGCCGGCAGGCGTTTGGGGTTTGGGCTTTGCGTTTTATTGGGTTTAGCGTTTGAGCTTCGTGTTTATGACGGCCTTTTAGGGCCTCAGATTTTTGGGGTTGTGGATTTCGGTGTTGCTGTTGAACGAAGGGGCCAGAGTCCAAAAGGGCTGTAAGCTCTTCCGCACCCTGTTTCCGCTGTGAGTCCCAACGCCGCACTGCCAGTAGTTCATCCAAGAGTTTTATGAGACATAAGGGTTTACCAAACCCTAAACCCTAAACCCTCAACCCTCAACCCTAAACCCTAAACCCTAAGGGTTTACTCTTGAGCTTCGGCCGACTGCGGATTCGAATGCCGAGACACCTGATCCCACTGTTGCATTCGGGATCCAACAGCTCTTCTCCTTGCCTCGGACCCAAGATGCCCTTTTTCCCTGTCTTCAGGGTTTAAGTTCCCTGGCAAGCCCCCTGAAACCACCCTAAACCCTAAACCCTAAACCCTAAACCCTAAACCCTAAACCCTAAACCCTAAGCTACTCTTGAGTCCGGTTGCCCTTGCGCTTGAGCGAGAGAGGCGGCCCAGAAAAGATGAAGGACCTGGTTGTGACCTTATACGGCCCTGCCCCCAGCTCCGCAAACGCAAAGGGTGTCTTTGGGACTCGAGGCTTAGGGACTCGAGGCTTAGGGTTCAACCCTAAACCCTAAACCCTAAACCCTAAACCCTAAACCCTAAACCCTACCCTGAAATTAACCGTAACCTTTCATTGTAAAGGTAGGCTTTTGACGAATCCTCAACGCTAGGCCCCGCTCGTACTGTGTCACGACATGACAGCAGTGCCCGTACCTAGGCATCGGCTGAAGGTAGAAGAGAAGCCCGTCCACGTCTGCATGCCTTCCAGATTCGGACAGTTAATTAATATTAATATTGCTTCGGCCGACACCCTTGCCGCGTTTAAACTGGGAAAGGCCGGGAGCAATACTGACAGCGCCGAAACCCTCAACCCTAAACCCTGGTGGTTTAGGGTTTAGGGTTTAGGGTTTAGGGTTTAGGGCTTAGGGTTCAGGGTTTAGGGTTTAAGGTTTAGGGTTTAGGGTCCCTTTTTCTGTAGTCTTGACCTCCGCTGTTCCGAGCCGAGCTGCTCCCGGCTGCCATGGCCCTGGTACCTTCGACGCGCCTGCTTCCATCGGCCCCTTCCCAAAGGGGGCATGCTGCCCCCTGGCTTTTAACCCTAAACCCTAAACACCCCCCCCTCTACCCCGCCCCCCCCTGCCGGGGATCAGGAGTTCGGGTTGAGGGGCTTGGTGCTCAATTGGGCTTTTCGGTGGCATCAGCTGCTTTCACAGCTCCAACTATGGCGTCAGACACAAGGCCGTTATAAGGTGGTTGCTTCTTATTTTTGTCGTGGTCCGTGCTGCCTGTGGGGTATAGACGGGACCCCCTTTCCTAGACGTTAAGGCTGAGGCCTTCTAAACCGCGTCGATGATGCCTTGTTTCTCGAGGCCCAAATCCTAGCCCCGAACCACCCTCGGCACTTCAATCCCAGCCTAAGACAAGACCCCCCCGCCCCCCCCCCCCCCCCGCCCCCTGCGAAAATCCTCACAACCCAGTCCGACCGGAAACGTCTTGAAAAATTAAGGGGGTGTCTATAACCCTCAACCCTAACTGTCGAGCAGGTTCAGTAACTTCAGTCTTCGGCTGGGCGAGTTGCTTCAGAACCCCTCAACAAAAAAGAGACATATTCTTCCTTGTACTTCATTTGTTTGGGGGATTCTTGGGGTTCGAAACCAAGAGGTGGAACATGTCTTGCTTTAAGATCAGGGGGGTTGAGCAGTAGTAGGGGTGGGCTTGTATATGGGCCCGAAGTCCCTAAACTCCATGGCCCTGAACTCCGACACTCCTCAGCCCTGAGCACCTAAACTTTAAACTCCTAAACCTTAAACCCTAGGCCCTAAACCCAAATCCCTAAACCCCAAACCCTAAACCCTGAACCCTGAACCCTAAACCCTAAACCCCAAACCAACATTGGCCTTGGCAACTGCGAAAGCCAAGCATAGGCGACCGCTGCTGAGAGGCCTCCCAGGCCGAATCTAGGGGAGCGCTGTTGGGTTTAAGGCTGAGTTTGGTTTAGGGTTTAGGGTTTAGGGTTTAGGGTTTAGGGTTTAGGGTTTAGGGTTTAGGGTTTAGGGTTTAGGGTTTAGGGTTTAGGGTTTAGGGTTTAGGGTTTACGGAGCAGAGGGTATAGATGGTAGCCTCTCTGACTGAAACAAAGCGGTAGAGCCTTTTGAGGGCTATGGCGTGCCTGGCCTTGGGGGGGGTGGGGGGGCGGGGGGGGGGGGGGGGGGGGGGGTAGCGCTTATCTTGCTATCCTGGCCAGGCCTACACCCTGAACCCTAAACCCTGAACCCTGAACCCTGAACCCTAAACCCTAAACCCTAAACTCCTAAACCCTAAACCCTAAACCCTAAACTCCTCAACCCTAAGCCCCAACGAAACTTTGACAAGCATCTTAGGCCCCTCAGTGTGGTACCCTCTGTAGAGGTTTCCTGGGTTTCGGAAGTAGGGGTAGAAGTAGGGAAACTATGGTTTCTAGAGCACTTGGGACTCCAAACCCTGAGCCCAACACCCCAAACCCCCCAAACCCTAAACCACCCGAAGCCCCAAACCCTAAACCTCAAACCCCAAACCCCAAACCCCAAACCCCAAACCCTAAACCCTAAACCCAAGTACCCATGAACCTCGAAGCCTTAGCTTGAAAGCTCGTACCTGACAGAGCCCCAGGCGCGCCCCGCCCACGAAAGCGCTGACGTGTGGAGCGACAGCGCTGCTGGCTGCCGCCGCGCGCCGAGGGACCCGGGAAGTAGCAGAAGCTGATATTTGGGTTACCCAGGGGGTTTAGGGTTTAGGGCTTAGGTTTAGGTTTAGGGTTTAGGTTTAGGGTTTAGGGTTTAGGGTTTAGGGTTTAGGGTTTAGGGTTCATTTGTAGTACCATTATGGCCTCTACAAGAGATAATGGCAATGTGGTGCATGGGGCCTGAAAAGACTGTAGAGGAACCCCCGTGATGCCTTGCAGGTGTGGCAAGCAAGTAACTAGCTTGAAGTGACAGTTCAAGACTACCCGAAGGGTCCAGGCACTCTTCTGCGCCTGCCTTCCTTTTCAGGATTTTGCGCCTACTATCTCTGTAAAAGGACCTTTGGGCTGATTCACTGATGTTTCTTGGGCACTCAACAGGGCATGTCACCTGCCCACGCTCAACACATTAAAACCCTGGAAGGACCCGCCGAAGCACAATCAGAAGGTCGGCCTCACCCTTGGTTCCAAGATGCAACGTTTCGTCTTTTAGTATGGGCCGACCTATTTTCGGGGAACTTTTGCACACCTCATATATGCCCGGAATATGCCCTATACAGCCCCCTGTAAGGGAGGTAAGGGACCCTATGAAGGGACCATGTAACTACCCCTAGAATCTTGCAGTCGCTGCAATCAAGCCTGTGGGGGTTCGGAGGGTTCTTCGACGTACTGGTCATTCACTTTGAGAGCACGCATTCGCGATGACGAACCTAGTAGTAGAGTATCCTTTAACCTTTTTGGGGTAGTAGAGTCCCCTAATACATTCCAAAGGTTAACCTTTAATTCCCCCAGGTTGCTGGACAACTAGGTCCGAAAGTGTAAGATGTGGTCATCAGAATCCCGCCCTGAGCGCTCTTCACCACCTGGGCCGTTCTCGAAAGTATGCTAGGCCGCTAGGCCCTTTTTTTTCGTGGGGTGGCAGCCTGACTTTCATTGTGCTTTGTATCGAAGCTGCCCCCCCCCCCAAAAAAAAAAAGATAAAAAAAAAGGACCATCGTTTAGATGCTTACCCTAGGTTTGGAGTACTACACGTTAATATTGTTTTTGGTTCTGGGTTCCTATTATAGCTACGTATAACTAAAAAGTATATACTTTTTTCCAGGGTCTACTCCAAAGTAGGGTTACAACTTGCAACCCACCAAGCCTTCTGAAGCCCTGTGACTCGGCAGGCTCAGGCAGTGCCTGTCTGCCCTCCCCGATGCAGAACTGCCGCCCTGCGCCTGCCATAGCCACAGGGCCGAGAAGAGTAGTAGCCCTAAACCCTAAACCCTAAACCCTGAATCCTAAACCTAAACCCTAAGGTGTGTCGGGGTCTAAAACCCAAGCCCTAAACCCTAAACCCCAAAGCCTTAGCCCTCCACCCCAAGCCCTAATCTCTATCCCTAAACCCTAAACCCTAAACCCTAAACCCCAAACTCTATGCCTAAACCCTAAACCCTAAACCCTAAACCCTAAACCCTAAACCTTAAACCCACAAGGTCGACTCCATGGCGCAGACGTTTACATCATTGGAACCGCGCACATTTCCGCGAAGAGCGCCGCAGATGTGGAGGCTTTGCTCCTGAGATCCAGGGTTTTAGGGGTTTAGGGTTTAGGGTTTAGGGTTTAGGGTTTGGGGTTTGGGGTTTAGGGTTGAGGGTTTAGGGTTTAGGGGTTTAGGGTTTAGGGTTTTAGGGGTTTAGGGTTTAGGGTTTAGGGGTTTAGGGTTTAGGGTTTAGGGTTTAGGGGTTTAGGGTTTAGGGGTTTAGGGGTTTAGGGGTTTGGGGGTTTAGGGGTTTAGGGGTTTAGGGGTTTAGGGTTTAGGGTTTCGGGTTATGGGGTTTGGGGTTTAGGGTTTAGGGTTTAGAGGCCGAAGGATGGATGTGAAGTCGTTCTTGAGGTCTTCGGAGGGCTTTTGAGAGCTATTGACCAAAGGGACATGTAGACATGAGAGGCATTCGCCACACCGGTGGCTCAAGTGGGACAAAGCAGCATGCCTTGCGGAAGTAAAAGACTCCGATAGAGTGGCCGCCGAGCTTCCAGCTGTGCAGTTTAGTGCACAGTTGGTAGCGGAGCATGGTTCGTGAGGCCGTCTTCGATGGACTCGCAAGCACTTGGGCAGCTGGAGCTGGTGGCGCTCAAGGAGCTTACTCGCAGGGCGAGCATGCTACGTTACCATGGACACCAGACGCCTCCTGGCAGAGAAACTGGATGGGTCAACCTGAGTGGCAAAGCTCCCCGCTGCCAGGCGGGTGGCATCCCTCCTACATGATGACCGACGCCACTGGGACAAGCCAGTTTCCGGGGACGCCAGGAGCCACGCGTCCCGAGGGAGATGCTTCCATGGCAGCAGTCTCCTCGACAACAGGGTCCTTGGGAGCCAATGTGCAGGCTCCGCCTGGATTGGGCCAGGTTCATCCTGGATCACCGGCTGGTGGAGCTGGATGGGATCCATGGGCTGAGGCAGCTAGACAGCTCATCCGGGCGACCACCGCTGCGGCGCAGATGATGCGCCCGGAGGCACCTCCTTGGCCGAACTTTCCGATGGCTGGACAACCTCCCGCAGCTGCTCCTCCTGGACCATGGAGCACCCCGCATCCTCGTGCCGGACCCGATCATGTACACCCCGGTGGAGCTGGGGCGCTATATCCTGGACTATGGGCACCCCCGCGTAATCCTCAAGGACCAGCAAGCGAACGAGCTGGCGGAGTTGCGGCGGCGAATGGATGTCACGGCGCAGACGCGTGGCATGGGCAAGATGGAAGTACTCCCGGAACTGGATGGCCCAGCCCGTGGGGCTGGGGCGGCTCGCAGCCCAAAGGTGACTACGCCGATCCTCCAGCATGGCCGGGATGGACATATCGGAAGCAGTGGGAGGTGGCGCTACGAAGGTGGAACAAGCATACGGACGTCCCAGTGTTCAGGAGAGCCGAGAAGGTGTTGCGATCACTGGGATGGGAGATGCAGGTAGACTTCGAGCACCTCTCCGAAGCCGAGCTCTCCAGTCCAGGGTACTTGGAGGCAATCCTGGCGGTCATGAACCTGAAGGCTGGAGTTCGAGAAGACGATGAGAAGAGGCAAGCCTTCCGGGACGTGATCCATGGAGTAACCCGGAAGAAAGACGAGAGCTTGGGACAGTACGCCACCCGGCGCCTTCGTGACTTTTCCAAAGCCGAGACCTACGGGATCAGCCTGCCGGCCGAGTTTCGCGTGTCCCTGATGAAGGAGGGCGCGAACCTCACGGACCAGAACCTCCAGAACCTGGCCGTCCTCACCCTGGGCAAGGAGAACGACGTGGACTTCCTGGCAGCCGCCATGTCCAGGTTGGATGTTCGAGGAGATCGTCTTTCAGGGTACGTCCGTGAGGATCAAGCTGACTCAGGTCGAGGGAGCGTCTACGCCGAGGGGATGGACAACATCGATGAAGCCGGCGGCAGCGACACGGACTCGCAGGACGACGAGTCGATTCCGGACGAGGCGGTTCTGGCTGAGCTGGAGGATCTCTCCTTCAATGAAGAGCAGGCGGCGTTGGTCTTTGCGCTGATCGAGAATCGACCTCCTCGGCGACGAAGGACATGGAAGGAGAACAAGCTGTTCAAGGCTGAGGTGCGCAAGGACCGGAAGCCCTTCAGGAAGGGTCTCCCGAGATCAGCTCAAGCGTCTCTCCAAGTGCCGGCTTTGCGGAAGGCGAGGGCATTGGGCAGAAGATTGTGATCAATCCAGGCCGAATGCCTCCGGGGACACTAGCAAGGTCTCTGGCTTTTGCTATCTTGGCCCTTCGTCCAGCAGCTCCTTCGTTGGCATGACCCACACGGAGCTCCAGTACCTCCTCTCCCGGGTGAAAAGTGAGGAGAAAGGCACGAGCGATGTCAAGGGCACCTTCCTGGCACTGCAGTCCGGAGCCGCGATCTTGGACATTGGCGCCACGCAAGACTTGATCGGAGAGGCAGCCTTGAGTGCCCTGGAGCAGGTTCTTGCCTCCAAGGGCCTGAAGCCAGTGGAGGTTCCGGCGCCTGGAGGAGCCCCGACGGGCATAGGTGGAGCTGCGACCGTGAAGAAGGCAGTCTTGGTTCCCATATCCTTGGGCGGAGTCCCAGGGACGGTCCACTTCGTGGTCATCAGCGAGAACGTGCCGCCCCTCCTGTCCGTGGGATTGCTGGAGCACTTGGGAGCGACTATGTGCCTGACGACCAACACCGTGGAGTTCAAGACGATCGGGGTGAAGCAGCCGATGCGCAAGGAGTCCTCCGGCCACAGGACCATCCCACTGGTCGAGTGGGGAGGCGGATTTTTCCCAGTGCCCGACGAAGCTCGGAAGAAGTTTGGGCTAGCTCGGGATGCTTTCATGCTGAAGGGCAAGGACTCCTCCGCGTACGCAAAACAAAAGAGTGAGAAGCCGAGAGTTCCTGATGTCAGCTACGTAGAGGAAGCGTCAGATCACTCTGCTGAGACATGTCAAGTGAGCACTGGAGAGTCTGCTGATCAGAGTGTTTCAAGATCCCGCTGTTCAGTTCCACCACATGAGTTGCGAACAAGATCCACTTCACCTCCTTCGGCAGATCTCGGCCCAATGTGCCAGAGAACCAATTCGATAGCATCCGGTTCCAGCCTCTCCTTGCACCTACATGATGGAGACCGCGCTTGGCGAAAGGGCGTCGCAGAGATGGCGAGCGCTGGTAAATCGGATGTTCTTCATGTTGGAGGCCACCCGCGTGATGTACACTCGACTTGTCCTGGCGGAGAGAGGCCAGAAGTCGTCCAAATCGGAAAGGAGGAAGTTCCTGGAGGCCGATGCTCAGATTCCTGGACGGTGCCTACACGCGGGCAAACACATCAACCGGGGCAATCAGTACGCCAGCTGGCAGGTGTGCGGAAGCTGCGGAGCGCGGATCAACTACGCCCAGAGGGGCAGACCGCAAGCGAAGGCCAAGGCTCAGGCCTCATCAAGCACCTCCCCGACACCTCCGACGACGTCCAGGCAGTCAACACCTCAACTTCTGGGAATCGGCACGAGACCTCAGACCGAAAGCCCCGGAAGTACGTCAAGTGGGACTTCGGAGATTGCCAGCGCGCTACAGACGATGGCCATGGGCTTCCAGCAGATGAACCACACTATGGCCGAGCTGACGCGAGGTCAGAATCGGATGGTCTCCATGTTGATGAACCAGACGGAGCAGCGCAACTTCGGCAACCTATCTCTGGAGGAGACCTCCGGCTTGGCGGCCAGGACGACGGCAGAGCACTTCCCGATGAACGTCGACGAGGGAGAGACGGACGAGAGTCCAACCTGCAGGACGCTCCTCCCGCTGGCCTACGTGGATGACCACCATGGTTTGCGCGTCTACGTTGATCCAGTGGGGACAGTGCACTCAGGAGATGAAAGAGAAGTTGACGCAGCATGGTGGGGGAACCAACAGCTGGCTAGTGCATTGCGATCTGAGTCGCTCCGGGCTCAGGGAAGAGAAGCGGGGCGTCAGCGAGCCTCCGGAACATCTTCGACATCCCTGGATATACCCCATTGAGACCTTGGAATCTGGTGAAGCCTGTGTATGGCACGAGTGTAGAGGGCCAGCGGGGGAGATTCTACATCGCGGACCAGGACCAGGACCAGGAGGAGAACTTCTCGACGGGCATGTTCTCCACCGATGGGCCATCAAGCGCAAGCTCCTCTCCCTCTTCGAGCTCCACGACCAGAACGTGGGCGTCTTCGGCATGGATCTGAACGGGAAGGAGACTCCGGACGGTCCCTACTGGCACTTCTCTGCGGAATCCCTGGGTGACTTCGTGGCCGGAGCGGACGACGTCGGGGACGTGTTCATCAAGGCCGAGGACGAAGAGGCAGTACGTGGTCTTGGGAATTTGGTCCGAGGTCGACGCCGAGATGTCAACGGAAGCCAGCTGGACCTCCTGGAGATATTCGAGGCTGGAGCTCTTTCCACCATGGCACGACAGAATGGACTGAGAACCCTCGAGGAGCCCAAACGCTTCTCGGCAGCTGCTGGATGGACTGGAATCGAGAAGGGGTATCGGCAGCAGGTGCGGAAAACTCTCCAGACCGGACGTCCCGACATGGTGAAGATGCAGCTGAATCAGGGCGTCGACATGGCAAGCCAGAGGAACGATCGAGAAGTTCACGAAGGTAAAGTACGGGCAGGCCTAGCCATGGAGATCTTGGAAGATCAGAGAGACCAGGGCAAACCAGGGCAGGAAGTATCTCCTCGAAAGCCCTGCAGAGGCCGAAGTTTGGAGGCATCCGGCGATGTCGAGAGCCACCGAAGACCCCGAGGTCTCCATCATGATCGATTCCAACGGCGTCAAGCTCATGACGAACGACACCGCGCTAGCCGGGAAGCTACAAGGGAATCTTCACGGAGGGCAGCAGAAGTCCTTCATCGAGCTCAAGGAGATCTCAGGGTCTCCTGAGGGCAAGAACGACGAGTTTGCCAAGTCCGAGAGTCTGGCCCGGAAACTCCGAAGCGAGCAGGACTTCTCCCACAGAGCATGTCAACGACTACTTCGAGAAGTTCCATGGGATAAGCTCCCGGTGGGAAGGAATGTCGATGGTCCCGTTGCCCGTGAGCGAAGAAGCAGCGTCACTCTGGGGCAGTACACCCACGGTGGGACACAAGGGATCACCCGAGCGACACGACTGATGCCGGAGCTCACGAGGTACCTGAACCAGTACATGACATGGCAAGGAGCCCTTGGTCCCAGGTCATCACTGGCAATATCACGAAACCTCCGTCTCGCCTATCAGAAGGACCTGCAGAATGTTGGCAAGAATTGGACCATAGCGTTCGGCAAGTTCCAGGGAGGCGAGGTGTGGGTCGAGGAAGAGGGAGGTCCTTCTCTCAGACAGGTACGACCTGGAAGATGGGTGGCGGGAAGATGCCACCGGACTCATCATCACTTGACCGAATTCGACCCGAAGGCCTTCCATGGGATTGAGCCCTACCGCGGGAGCCGCTGGAGCGTGACGGTCTACCAGACCAGGTCGTCTCAGAACCTTCAAGCACTTGAGCAGGCGACCCTCGGTGACCTGGGATTCAATCTCGCAGGTTATCCAGCACGAGATCACGGGCGAGACTTGGCAGTCCTCGACCACGTCTTCTACGGCCAAGCCGACGACATCATTCGTCCGGAGGGGTCATTTCCCACCAATGCCGAGGCTGAGGACGAAGACGAGGAGGCCGAGGAGGACAACCCCGCGCCAGCTGCGAAAGGAGTCGCCGCTGGGGCCACAGCATCAAGGGCTCGAGTGTCGGAAGAGCAGAAGAGACTCATCCGCAAGCTTCACATCAACACAGGACATCCCCCCGCCGACAGATTCTTGAGGACCTTGAAAGCGGCAGGAGCGCTCCCACATGTTCTGGAGTATGTCCGCGACCACTTCAAGTGCGACGACTGTGCCGTGAAGGTCCAGGCGGATTCGAGGAGAAGAGCTCAGTGTCCAAGGCTATATTCCTTCAACCGGGTCGTGTCCGTAGACGTGATGTACTTACCAGGACGTGTTGTTCGGCTTTTCTGAGAAGCCTGTTGTTGCACTTTACAACTGAGAAGCCGCTTAGTTAATCGACCTCTTGGTGGTCGCTGAAAAACTCCTTGATTTGAATCGAAAAATTGAAAAGCACATCTATATTAAAACGAACGTGCATCATGAGCATCAGAATTGGCGAGTCCAACGAGAACCTTTGCCTTAACATGTTCCGGCAGGCACCCAAAGCCTGAAACAGAGTCGGAACTTTGTTGGATCTTGTGTATATATGCGGTGTCATCGACGTCGCCCTGATATCTGAATTAAAGCGGTCGATCTGGCCCACTTTTTCTCATCGCCACTGCAACGAAAGCTGTAAAACGTACTTGAACAAAGTGTGTCGCGACATGTGCGCGGGGTGAGAAGTCTTCGCAAGGGCTTTGGTTCTACGTATGGCGTCTTCGTTTAAAAAGTTGTGTAGATATCTAGGATTGAGGGGAAGGCTATCGAACGTCAGATGTTCGAGCTGGTGTTGTTTTGGCCTGCAAGGCCATCTGCAGACGCCACGCTGCAGCGACCAACTGCTCAGGTGATTGTACGATGCTCTATATATCATGTACGCTGTCTCAAAGTGCAATCGCTCAAGATCCGAAAGCAATCGCCTAGGTCACCAGGATCACACCGGGTATTCGATCGGGTCACAATGTCCGAATGAACAGAAGCTCACACATAGTTGGGCACCGAGTTGCCCAGCATTCACCATGATCTCCTCCATTTTCGCCAGAGCATAAATCACTCCACATTGATGCCTTGGGTTTTGGGCCAGCAAAGTACACAAAAACCTACTTATATAGTTGACCATCCAGGCACATACAACTTTTTACACGAAACTCAAAGATCGAGTCAGAGCACAAAAACTCTTCAGGCTTTGGGTGGTTGGGGTCGGCAAGCATCGCTGTAACAAGATTGCTGAGCCAGAAAATGACGTATCTCGCGGCTGTAGCTGACATCTGCTTTTGTGATATACTCACATAGGAAGTAGACGCCGGCTTCAAGGTTGTCGAAGAAAACAGCTTTCTTTCACATCTGTCACTCACACCTGGGGGTCGAAAGATGCTCATGATGTTCGTGGTGTTTTTCTTGAAGCCCCATTGTAAAAGATATTGCTTTCCACTATAGTCAACACATAGCTTGTTACCCCAAGTCTCTCATCGATTCACACCAGGACCGATAGCTGTTCCAGTATTCCAGCAATTCCGCGTCTCGATTGCGCGTAGGGGTGTTGTCCAGCAAGAAGCTTGTCAGGACGTCCGGGACTATCGCAAGGTACACTATGTGCATCGTGTCGGGGAACACTCCTAACATGTTTGTACATTTCCGAACTGAAACTCGCGCACATTCTGAACCGCAGGAGCTGTAAAGAAAGTTCCGTAGATCGTGCAATATTTCAGTCGTGGGTCGCCATGGAGAAAATCCGGCAATGCGAGCAAGCGGTGTCGGTCCATGAGTTCTCATCCACTCATCCCGCGTGATGACCCTCACATGCGATTTGTCATATTTTCCATATATGTCTATATGGGGTTGAAGATTGACTTGCCCAGCTAGATTGCTACTGAGGCACGTTTCCCGGTGGGTTGCTGCTTTGCCAAAGTTCGTGTACAACATGTTGGGATCATCATCTGCTTCAATCCAATGAAGGGCCTTCGGGATTAAGCCACAACAGCTTGAACCATTCTCAGGAGACCTTCTTATGAGGGAAGCCAACCCTGAAGCTGAGACTTTCCTGGAACCGCCAAGCTGGCCTGGCACAAATGACACACGGCCTTGCGCGAATAGTCGCCTGGTTTTTGAGTTTGGTGCGCGCATCTTCAGCGCAGGGGTGTTTGTAGGGTTGATGGGGCAGGGTTTGGCGGTTGGAGAGGAATTGTTGTATAAAGTTCGAGGCAAGCTACAGTCTTGAGTGGGCTACGAACATCTAAGGGTTCTGCGTTTAGAGGTGTGTGTGTATACACTGCAGATCGAAAACAACCCCCTAGGAATTAGTTCGACCATGTGCTGAACGAGGTTCGCTGCAACTGAAAGGTTTTCTTCAAAAACTCCTGGTCCGCTTGGACCCCGTCGAACACCCCAAAGAAGCCGCCAGCCAACTTGCAGCCTGCCAGCTTGCGGCGCTGCGGACAGTAGGAAGACGTAAAAGGTCGTCCCCACGGGTCGCACGCGGGGTGCTCCCCCTTACCTTATAAAGATCGACGGTTCAAAGATGTTCAAAGGTTTCAGGCACTGACCCTCCACACAGTCGAGGGTCCAAGAGCTTCAAAACTCCATTCGATGACTTGCAGGATGGTATCTCGGGACTGGCTCCCGTGGTAGGACATGTTCATGCATGACAGCCTCAGGTCGAGACTTCTGGGTTCGAACATGCATGGTAGCCCTGTGTACGTATTACCTGCGACCGAGTAACAAGAATCGAGACCGCCAAGTCGACGAAGTTTCTGTGTCGACCGCAGGCAGTAGCAAGAAAATCTCGAACTTTTGGCGTTCTTGGATGCACGAAGAAAGCACCAGATCGAGCAAAGGGCAGATTGACACTCCTTATATGTTTCAGAATAAGACACTTGTTGCTTCAGCACCATCACCATATATCCGAAGAGGAACAGCATAAGGCAGAGCATTTGGGTCCTAAGTTCAAGGGGCAGTAAATCACCAAGATCTAAAACTGGAGTCAAGACTAGAGACGAGGCTAAACAATTCGATCGTCTATATATACCTCAAGATCCAAGGCACCTGCAGATGAGGATGCTGCTGGAACCATTCTGTCGAGGACTGCGACTGCCAATATTCGACGAGCGCCTTGGCTTGGGAGCTTTAAGTTCCAGATAAATTGAGGGCACATTCAACTTGGAATGGTCTAGCTTTCAAGACCAGCGGCAGACCCATGCCCAATCAGCATGTGCATTGAACCAGATTTGTAGAGACTGGCCAGGATGTCATGCGGCAAAAGCATATCATGGGGACCCTCCTTCTTCACGAGGTTACCATGTGCATCTTCATATTCCTCAGGCCCCCAATACAAAACCCACCAGTCATTAAACGTGGTTTTGTTTTTTAAGCACTACCCCAAAAAGGCCAAGCCGCAGAGATCAGTTGCACCCTCAGATATATACCGACAGGGACATTCCACACGTGTGTGGCAATACATAATGTATTTTATATCTAGAAAGCGGAGATGCGTGAAAGGCTTCGGCAAGACCTGCCCTTAGATGGCGGGAAACCAGAGACCAATCGAAACCACCAACCCCAAACCCAAAACCCAAACCCCAACCCAGCCCTATATTTAGAACCCTAAAGTAACCCCTCAACATGTAGTCATTGAGAAACCCTTAGATCCTATCGACTGTAGGAAAAATTATACACGGTCCCTAGTTAAATCCGTACAAACCCCAAACAAATGTTCAGCGAGCGTCCCCAGGGCTGCCGATCGAACCACTGTCTTAGGGCCCGGAAGGAACCCCATGAGCCAGCATCAGCAGCACCAAAGGAGAAAGCCAGCTGAAGTAGGTCTGCCCTTGTGTGTGTTCTACATGCCAGCACATGAACTATGCCTTAATTCACCAACAGCGTAGCAGCCAAGCATCGGGACTAGATCATGCGGTAGATTTCGCAATCGGCCCAGGACTGTCGATAGCTGGCTCAGTGGCACCTCGCCGCGCACAATCAAGGGTTGGGGTGTGAAGAGGGTATTTTCTGTCTCGGGATCAGATTCGGGCAGCGCCAACCATGAAAAATGCCCAGCCTGCCCTTGACTCAAAAGCCTCAAAGCATCATCCACAGTTTCCTGAACGAAGTTAGTGGCCCATTGACCAGCCGCAGGTCCATTGCAGGTCAGCATGTAAAATCCAATATATGTTGCGGTTCTTCACTTTTACTTTGATGAAGCATATAGGGTTCAGGGTTTAGGGTTTAGGGTTTAGGGTTTAGGGTTTAGGGTTTAGGGTTATAGGGTTATAGGGTTGAGGGTTAAGGGTTAAGGGATTAGGGTTTAGGGTGGTCTTGTTTAGTGTTTAGGGTTTAGGGTGGGGTTCAAAAGTTTAGGATTCGACCCTTATACGAGTTGGGGTTTGGGTTAAGTTTTTAGGGCTTATATGGGTTCTAGGTTTAGGAGTTAATCCTTGGAGGCCTGTGTGTTCACGATGCCAACCAATAGATAGCCCTGTCCATACAAAGTAAACCATGCTGCGAGGAAATCAGCAACGGACGTGGTTGCTGCATGGGACATGCCACACGGCCGGACTTATGCCCTGGCAGTTGTGATCGTTTTCGAGCTTCTTTCGGAATTTGGTTCGAAGCTGCACCTGAAATCCTGCGCCCCACGTGATGGCAATCCATCACCGCATATATCGTGAGGTTTGCAACTACTCTGCTCGATCTAGATGCGGTAGCCGTGTGATCTTCGACCCCTGAAACCCTTGTGTTGTAGAATGGGTGCGTTATGAGAAATGTATTGTTTCGCATCACACACCGCACAACAAGCAGATAGACAAACCTGGCCCCAGCTCATCTTGAGCTTCACTTGCCCCGCCGCCTTTTGGCGGGCGGCAACTCTTCCACCTCTTCATCTTCCTCTTGCTCTTCCTCCTCCTCTCCTTCATCAGCTTCCTGATCCTCAGCATCGGTCTGGGCAACCTGTTTCTGCTTCTCCAACTCCTTCTGCTTCGCCTTCTCTCTCTTCCTCTCTTCTGCCGCAAGTCCTGAGACGTATAAATCTTCGACCAACATCACCATCCAAGAGATATAGGTCTTGGAAGTATCACGCGCACATATATTCATCGATCCAAGGCACTGCGCTCGTGCGCTTGCACCGAGGTCTCTGCTTCGACGACAGTCTCCTGGTACTCCTGCACCGAGGGTCGCTATAGAGTCGGACTTTCAGGTTTAGGGTTTAGGGTTTAGGGTTTAGGGTTTAGGGTTTAGGCTTTAGAGTTTAGAGTTTAGGGTTTATCTACTTCGAACAAGTAGAATTGCGTCCTGAAGCTTCTTCTTGCGGTTATCGAGGAATTTCTTGCAATCTTCGATAGGCGTTGGGAGGAAGATCATGGCGCGGACCCTCAGGTGCTCAATGTATTTCCTCGTACTGATCTCAACTAGTAAGACATGAAAACCTGAATTCGTATCAAGTGACTCAGCGTGCAGGGCATAGCATTGGTCGGAGATCTTCTGCAGGTTGTCCAGGCTGTCCTGGTGTGCTTGGCATCTTCAGGGCTTCGGTGGTTTAGAGCTGGGACCGACAATTGTAGGGTTTAGGGTTTAGGAAAGGCTTTGGTAGATTCTACACTATAAAGCCCCGGACCTTTGTGTTTCTCATCTTCAACTTGGTCATAGTGCCGGCGACTGTGCATGCCTTGTCACCCAATGTGCGGATCCTTACCAGGAATAGACACATGCAATCCCATATGGGCAGGCAGCATGAACCCGATTCACATTTTCTAGGCAAGGCGCGCAGCGTGGTCCCTCTCAAAGTCTTTCTTCTCCTTGTCTGCCATACTCATCTCCTGGGTCTAGCTTCTATATACGCATGTGCTCTAAATTCGAACAACACAAACAGGCATTCACAAACGCAAACCTCTCCTTGTCGACCTTCTTGCTAGGCTTGGCTTTCGCCCCACCACCCAACCCATTCCTCGACCAGGCTGTAGCAGTCTTTGCCTCCAATGCCTCGACCACAGCAGCCCGATCCGCCTTGCTTGTTGCAGCAGTCGAGGAAGACATGCGCTGGCCCACGCGCGTGGCATTCTTACCTGGTCGAGTCCGCTGGAAGCTTGCATCGAAGCTCTGTGAGGTTTGCAAGTTCAGGAATTCTGGGGCGTGTTTATAAACATCTGCGCGACCAGGTTGCTTGTGTGGTCGGTGGTGACGTAGACCTTGTAGAGCCGCATGCTTGGATTTTCCGGCGCTTGTGGGTGCGCGCGTCCCTGCTGTTCTTAGTTCCAGATCGAGCATAAAGCTTGACTCATAACATGCAGCGCCAGAACATGAAACAACTTTGCTTGCAAACGGAGGTGCTCTCAAGAAGGCCGGCCAAAAACTTCTGGCCCTCCTTGCTCTTGTACTGGTCTTGCAAGATACAGAGAGGTAGCTCACTGAACTTCTCCTTGGAAGCGGCTTCAGCCAGCCTTAGCATGCATGCATGAGCACACATATACGTAGCTACATTCTGCTTCAGCTCCAGAATGCATAATTTCTGTCCAGCAGCTCCTCAAAATACGGGGAGATGTCGATCGCACCCATATCTCTGTCGAGCATGAAGGCTTTCAGGTAAGCAAACCTGAGTCGCCAACGGCATCAGTGATATAGTCTGAGTCCAGAGTCTGGTTTAAGGGTTTTGGGCTTAGGGTTTGTTAAGGGTTTTTAGGGTTTAGGGTTGATATAGGGTTTATTTAGGGTTTAGTGTTAAAAGGGTTTAGGGCCCGGTTTAGTGCTGGACATATTGAGGTTCTCACTTCTCCGTTTGGCTGCTCGCGGCAGCCCACTGCTGGACGAGGCCTGGCTTCAAGCCTTGCATTGGGGCGGCGCTGCAGACATGTGGTGTTCAACCACGCATGCATGGGTGCAAGATAGATAGTCATTTGTATAGGTACCGGGCCCTTTCCACTGTTCATCCTTCTCCGAAGCCGCTCGTTAAGTTTCTTTCGCTGCACCAAAGGGATTTGGCCGGGGGTCTTCAGGGCCTGGATCAGGAGACATGCAAAAAACCCATAAATATAGACATGAAGGGATCGAGGGCTATGCACAGTCAGCCTTGATCTTTTCCACCTCCTCAGGAGTTAAGGGCCGTACGTCCTGCAGAGCAAGAAACTAGAGTACATGAAAACATGAGTTCTGCTTCGATCAGATCACGTGTACGATGCTTCCTCGTTGGGGCCAGTGATCAGCGGGGGAATGTCCAGCATACCCTCTCCATCACTCACTTGGCTGACCATGGTCTCGTGCGTAGTGCCCCTCCGAAGGATGCCCCTTATTGGACAGACACGGTTTAGGGTTTAGGATTTAGGGTTGAGGGTTTAGGGTTTGAGGGAGTTTATAGGGTTTATATAGGGGAAGGTGTGCATGCATTTGTCACGATGACAGTTTTTTGAGCCAAGGAGCTTCCTGTCGTCGTGATCTGAACCCGACGTCGTCGAATGGACTGCAGTCAGGCATGCAATCTTTATGTTTGCAGACATGTTTTTTTTGTATATATGGTTTGCACGATCCATGCCTGAAACACGGTCTTCGAAGGATAGCTGCCGGCAGGGCTTCTTCACAGCGGTGGGTGGGGTCGGCGTGAAAGCTGGCTGCTTTCTCTTTGCTGGTTCGGGGGTCTCCACTGCAGACGTTGGGGCTGGGGAATTGGTTGGTGCCGCCTGGCCATTGTTGCTTGCGTGCTCTGGATTTCCTTTGCTGCCCTTGCCTTTGGCCTTTCCTTTCTGGTTGTTCTTGCCCTTCTCCATGCCCTTGCTGCACTCATCTGGCCTGGCGCTGCTGTCGTCTCGGCGTGCCTTCCCCTTCTCCTTCCCCTTCCCCTTTCCCTTTTCCTGGCCCTTGCTGGAATCGTCTGGCCTGGCGCTGCCATCGTCTTGGTGTGCCTTCCCCTTCTCCTTCCCCTTGCTGGACTCGTCTGGCCTGGTGCTGCCATCGTCGAGGTGTGCCTTCCCCTTCTCCTTCCCCTTCACCTTTCCCTTTTCCTGGCCCTTGCTGCACTCGTCTGGCCTGGTGCTGCCATCGTCTCGGTGTGCCTTCCCCTTCTCCTTCCCCTTCCCCTTTCCCTTTTCCTGGCCCTTGCTGGACTCGTCTGGCCTGGTGCTGCCATCGTCTCGGTGTGCCTTCCCCTTTCCCTTTTCCTGGCCCTTCCTGGACTCGTCTGGACTGGTGCTGACACCGTCGAGGTGCGCCTTCCCCTTCTCCTTTCCCTTTGCCTTTCCCTTTCCCTTTCCCTGGTCCTGGCCCTCCGGCCTGGTGCTGCTGTCGTCTCCGTACACCTTCCCCTTGTTTCCTTTGCCCTTCTCCTGGTGGCCCTTGCCCTTGGACTCCTTCCCCTTGCCGTGGCTGTTGTCTTGATTCAGCTTTCCCTTCTCCTTGCCGTGGCCCTTGCTGTTTGTCTCCTCTAGTGCCTCGGCCTCTTTCTGTCCTTCGCTGCTGTTGGCCACCTTTCCCTTTTCCTTTCCTTTGCTTCCCTTGCCTGAGGCACAGTGACCCTTTTTGCTTTTGCCTTTTTTGCCCTTGCCTTGCTTCGCCTCAACCAGCACATAAGAGCGGGGTGATGTCTCGACATACGTGCCATATTCATCCTCCAGCATGTGGGGGTCAGTCGCAGACATGTTGGATCAGAGAGGATCCTTGATATGCCCAGTCGATGCAGTCGATGGGCCCAAAATGTCTTCGGCCAGACATTCGTGCAAATGGGTTTGGGG